TCGTGGCCGTGGCAAGTGCTCACGGTCGTAGGGCGTTTCCTGGGCAAGAAGTCGGGGGGGCGATCGGGTCATCGGCTTGATCGCCATGCTCTGCAGGCTCTAGAGTATGGCGCGCGAGGTTCAGGCACGGCAACGGGCGCTCGAGGATGAGCCGATGTGGGACGCTGCGGTGGCCAACGGCAGCACTCTTCGGGAGGCAGCTCTTCGAGCGCTAGAGGAAAAGCTACATGTTCGATGCAATGTTCCTCACGGACATGGGTCGGTGGATGCGCATGCTTTTTACGACGGCATTGAGTGGCCTCATCTGGCACGCGGTGCTCTGCGTCTGCGTTGCCCTCCGACGACTGTTGTTGTTGGAGCTGCAGGTTTGTCTGAGTTGGCGACTGATTGCGCGAGTATCATCATGTTCTTAGCCTTTCCAGCCCACGCGTTCAGTGGTTCAGGGCTTGAGGAGTGGGACGAGATTTGCGCACTGCATGAGCTACTGGGTTCTTCATCGGTTGTGCACTGCGTACCCATCGCTATCGAAGAGCCAGGTGCGTACGATGTTGGTAACAAGCACAGTTAGTGCGTCCAAGTATCTGCGGCCTAATGCCGCCGAAGTCAGTTGTCACGTGCTCCCATCATGCGGATACTGATCATGCTGTGCAGCAGTTGCAGCGCAGGCGCATCCACATTCATGGGCGCGTGCAGGTGGCTCACCCGGGCGTGGACCTTGGAGGCGGCAGGAGACAGGCACGCGATGCGGCCGGAGAGCGGGTCGTCAAGTCCAAGGCCCAGCCCACGAAGCTTCGACGCTTCGCGAGGGCAGCGCACCGATGTACGACGACGACGAGGATGCAACGCGCTGGACCTCAGGCGGCGGCGGTGCACGGTCACCAGGCCTACGGTTGCTTCGGGGCGACCTTTGTTTTGTTTTCGAGGCGACCATGGTCGAGCAGAGGCGGCGTCTGGCAGCAAAAGGGCGAGCTCGGCGCGTGGAGGTCGGTGTGCGACCACGCTGCTGGCGCTGCGGCTGCGCCGGGGCCCGAGCCCGGCCCAGCCTTGCCTGGGCAGCGTAGCGCGCAGTGGCTTCAGATGTGGAGGGCGGAGCCTACACGCTGCGAAATGCTTAAGAAACCATGGGTTAAGAAATCCGCCGACCCCTTGGGGATCATCGGCGTGTGAGATGCTTTCCCCCTCCCCAAACCCCTCCCCCGGGAGCCTGGTCCGGTCGATTTGGAGGGGGGGGGGGGGGTCGACCACGAGCGCGTCATGGGGCTCTTTCGGTCCCAAGAGGGGCTACAGACCGCCCAGGAATGCCCCAAGAGGCCTCCAAGACCGCCCACGAGCGCCTCGAAACGCCAAACGAGCGCTCGGAGACGCCCAAGGTGTGCCCAAGACAGCCCAAGAGGCCTCCAAGACGGCCCAAGAGGTCCCCAAGAGGCCTCTTGGGAGCGGCCCAAGAAGCCCAAAATCGTTGATTTTCCATTGGTTTTTCAAGGAAGGGGGCCTTCTCGCCCTTTCGGCTTTCCGACGCTCCAAGACGGCCCAAGAAGCTCCCAAAACCGCCCCAAGACGGCCCAATAGTCCCCCAATCGGCGTGTGAGCGACTTCCCCCTCACCAAACCCCCCCCCCCCCGAAGACCGGTCGGGTCAATTAGGAGGGAGAGAGGACGGCCGGGAGGAACCGGCGGCTCCGCCGGGGGTCCAAGAAGGCCCCGAGCGCCAGAAGCTTGCTGCGAGACTCTCAAAGATGACCCCCGGACAGCCGAAGAGGCCGCTAAGACACCCAAAGTGGCCGCCAACAGGCCTCACAAGAAAGTCCAAAGAGGCAAAAGTCAACACTTTTCCATTGTTTTTGTAGATATCGGAAATTCTCACGTTTTCGGCTCCACGACGCTCCGAGACGGCCCGAGACGCCCCAAGATCGTCCCAAAATACCCAGGAAGCCCCTCAAACGACCCCCGTGACGTCCAAGGAAACCCCCAAGACAACTCAAGAGGCCTCCAAGACAGCCTCAGACGCCCCCAAGACAACTGCAAAAGTGGACCCTGCCAAACCATCCCAAGGCAAATTTCGAACCCTCGGCCCCAAGAAGCCCCCAAAAGGATCCAAGAGGCCCCCAAGAAGCCACAAATAAGCCCCAACAACCCCCGAGAGGCCCACAATAGACCCCAAGAGACCCCAGAACGGCCCCCAAGAGACTTCAAGAGTGCTCCGAGAAGGCCCCTGACAGACATACCAGGACACCTTCAAGAGGCTCCAAAGACGGCTGCAAGAGGGGGGACAATGTACATCAAGGGGTCGGCGGTGTGGCGTAAGCCCAAGAATCCATAGTCTCAGAAATGGATTAAAAACCCAAAACTTCTATCAAAATCTTGGGAAAATCGAGACTCTGGCCGAAAACTCAAGTTTTCTTGAGCGTCGCCTAGGGTGTAGGCTGCATGCGGGTACCCAGCGTGTGGGGCCAGGGCGGTTCCGTTCCCTGCAGGGGTGCCCGAGGCCTCGGAGTGCAGACACGTTCGAGGGCCGATCTCGGCCGCCACCGCGTGTCTGCTGCGGGCGTGGTGGCCTCCATCCTCGGCTGCTGGGTGGGACACCACGGACGACTGCACTCGCGATCGTCGTGCTTAGAATTGTTCTGCAGCGAAGATCGTAGGTCATGACAAGGTGGCGCCTCTCTTGGAGACGTTTGAGGAGTCGCTCGCAGCAAGGCAGTGGCGAGAAGCAGCGCAGAGGCATGGCTGACGGAGTGGATCTGTTAAGTTACCGTCAGTTCTTGGCGAGCTTATCTCAGGTTCAAAAAGGACGGCAGCTGGTCGAACTCATGATTTCAATTGCTGTTGGGGGGTCGTGGCCCAATGAACGGAAGTTTCAAGCGAAGTTGCCTGGTTGTGTATCAGATGTATGCGACCGCTGCAAAGAAGCGGTGGAGACGGCATCTCATCGTACGTGGGAGTGTCCGCGCAACGATAGAGGCCGTGCTTTCAACATTCAGATCACCTTGTGGCGCGCGCAGGGGTTGAGAAGGATAGTTTCACGTGCTTCTGGACAAGAGGCATCATCCCGGCCAGTTGGACATGGGTACCCGAGCCCGTCTCTGAGCCGCAGTGGGAGGTCAGCAACATGGCTAGACCACTCACTGCAAGCTGCTTGGGTATCGGCACGCGTGCAGCGCCCTTGCTAGTATTTGAAGATGCATCTGGTGGGGCTGACTCGCGCCACATACGGTTGCGCCGTGTCGGCCTTGAGATCGCTGTGTTGCAGAGTTTCTCTACAATGAAGATTGGACCGTTTTATGTTGGGACCGCCGTGGGACTCGCAGACGCAGAGACGGTACCGCGAGGTGAGCTTCAGTGTCTGGCCACAGCTATTGAGTGTTCGCAAGGTGTGCTGGTATATGTTACGGATAACGATGAGGTTTGTAGAGGATAGCGGCAGGCTTTGTATTCGAAGCCCACAGGTCAGAACGCTGATTTGTGTTGTATCAACAGTCTTTTGTCTATCCAGTCACGCTCGCCAGCTCACGTTACGGTGCTTCAAGTGTCTTCGCATGTCTCTCCTCAGGAGCATCTGGCGCGCGGCGTCGCGAGCTGGTTGGCGCAAGGCAACGAAGTGGTGGACAGGTTGGCAGAAGTGGCAGCAGCAAGGTGCAGGGTCCCCGAGTCTCACAGGGCGAGAGTCGCCAGAGTCGAACGTGACGCGTCGCTCGTTCGACGGTGACTGCTCCGAGCTGCGCTGCTGGTCATACGGCACGAGACGAGCCTGAAGCGTGAGGCACGGAGAGCGAGGATCGCTGAGAGAGTGCCTGTTGCTCACCCCCTCCTCCACCTCCGTGTCCCCCTCCTGTTCCCATTAGTGTTGCACGCTTCGCGACGGCACATTCCCTTGGAGAGGATAGGAGGTCTTGTAGTGTGTGTAAAGGTAGCGCTTCCATCTCGAGCGCGACTGCCAGGCTAAAAAGTGATTGTATGTCGTTGGACCATGTTAATGGTAGGCTTTTGAGGCTCCCCCGAGGACGACAAATACATATCACTGGCGGTTGGGCCCACCCCTCGCACGCTATGTTCTATCACGTGTCTCTAGGAATCTGGTATTGTGCTTCGTGCGGCCACTTCGGTCAGTCTCAGATCATGGGACTTGAAGTGCGGTGCAAACCGTTTCCCATTCCGAAGAGTCGTCGGGAATACCTCGAGAGAATCTCACGTGATCTTTTCCCCAAGGCTTAGCTGGGGAGCGGAAGTGGTTGTTGACATCGCTCAAGGCGGTAATCCTGGTAATCCTCCTCCTCCTCCTCCTCTTCCTCCTCCTCCTCCTCCTCCTCAACCTCCTCCTCCTCCTCCTCGCCGGACCCACCCCCATCACGCGATCCAACCCCTCCACGCCCATTGAAGAACAGCAAAGCCCTAGCCCACCGCCCCGCGATCCAGCCCCCCAGCTTATCGAGCGATCCAGGGTACATGAGTTGCGCACACCGTCGCCCCAAGACGGCTGTCCACGACGAAGGCCCAAGAGGCCGCCAAGACGGCTCTGCGGGAAGCAGGGGAAGAGGAGGAGAGAGGAGAATGAGGAGGAGGAGAAGGGCGAACTGAGGTGAGGTGTCGCATTCTTCCGAACCAGGCCCCAAGGAGCCGAAGGCCGGTAGATGCCCCCCTTCGGTAGCTTGCCGCAGGGTCGGGGTTGGCGACCTTCTACTCACCCACAGTCGGACTTGGGAGCGTCTTGGCGCCTTTGGGGGAAGTCTTGGACAGGGCTGCACCCTGGGTGTTTGCCAGGGCCGATGCAGGCTCGGCTGGCCCCGCGGCTCCTCTGGGGGTCTCACATGCGTATGACGACAGAGCGAGGCCGCGGCCGAAACCGAACCAGCGCATTCGAACTAGAGAACCGCCGAACAGGCCCGAACCGACTCCGAATCGGCGGATCCTTTCTGAAAAAAAGTAGCGGCGCATGCTCCAAAGCCTGTCGGAGAAGCCACACGCATGCCACCAGCACATAGAGAGCATTGAAATGCGAGGTACCTTCAGCTTCACCTTCGACAAGAAGCCCTTCTCCTGCAGCCTCCTGCGGAGACAGAACGGCTGCATCCAGCACACGCACACACACACAAAACAAAACAAAACAAAACAAAACACACACACACACACACATTGTTGGGCGTCAAGACCCGCGCGCAGCGTCGAGGCGGAGAAAGTTGCGCAAGGAGACGCGCGCGGCTGGCGCAGATCATGGACTGGGACCCGCCCCCCGTAGGGGATCAGCCGAGTCGAGTCGCTCGCGGGGGGCCGCGAGGGGCGAGGGAGGCGACGCCCAGGGGCCGGGGCGAACCCAGCGGCAGGAGGCGAGCAGGGAGGGTAGCGACGGCGACGATCCGAAGACAAGAGGGCTTCCTGTTTGGTGGTCGCGGATGCTACCGGCCCCGGCCGACCACCCCCCCACCCTCCTCCTCCTCCTCATCCTCCTCCTCCGAGCTGTCTCTGGCCAGTCCTAAACATTGCCAGGCGGCGCCCCGGCGCGAAGAGCGCCGTTGCTGGCCCCCCTCCTCCAAACCCTCCCCCGGTGGTGCCCGCGATCGCCCCTGCCCCAGAGCAAAAAGCCGCTCTCCAGGGTGAGGGGACGGCGCTGGGGCCCCCTGGCGGCGCCGCCCCTGGCGCGCGGAGCAGGGGGTCGAATGCCTGGAGCAGCCCTGGACAGGGGGGCCGTCGCACTCGGAAGCTCCGCGAGGGCATGAGGACCAATGCAGGACAGGCGCAGAATGGCAGGTCTCGTCAGGAGGCCGTCGCAGTCGGCAATTCCACGAGGCACGCTGGAGAGGCGAGAGGACCAGGCTTGACGAACGGAAGGCAAGGACGGTCTCGGCCCCCGCACCAGCTGCACATAGCTGGGAGAAGGCGTGCGTCGCCACGTGGGATGGGGGGGTCCTGGCTGTCCTTGGTGGAGTAGGGAAAGCCACAGGACCATCAGAATGATCTTTCTGCTCCGCGAACACAACCACACCAGCATGGAGATAGCTCGCGCGCGTGCCGTTCGCATCACGAGCCGAGTGCGAAGAGATCTCGATGCAGAGCCGCAACCCCAGTCGACAGGGGGGAAGGCCGAAGCTGCACATGAGGATTCAACTTGACGCCAAAAATAAAAGGCACCGGCCACGAGGGGGAAGCGGAGAGAGGAGTAGGAGGAGGAGGAGGAGGAGGAGGAGGAGGAGGAGAAGGAGGAGGAGGATGAAGAGGAGAAGCGAGGCGAGGGGGATCAACAATGGCGCAATGTGTGCATCCCCACACGGTCCAACCGACCACAAATATTGTTAGGCATCACACCACAACAATCGTGAGAACGGCGCGCAGGACACAGAAAGCAAGTTGAAGCCCAGACGGCCAGACGGCTGGTAGTAGACTACCCAAACTTCTCTCGCACAAGAAGCGTAAGCAAGAAGGGAAGGACGAAGCCCAAGCGAGAAGGGACCTTACTAGCAAGCTGGCAGGACGGTACATGCTGGAACTAGAACCCGGCACACGATATTTGGGCGCAAGCACTCACCAATATGTTATGTAAGTCAAGTGCTAGAGGCATGGCAGTGCCCCGCAGCATCGGGGGACTGACTCCACGCGGCGCGAGAGCGAGCCCCAGGCGACAAGAGCGGCCCGTGGGGTCGGCCAACCGCGGCAGTGAGCTCAGCCCACAGACGCTGCCCGTGCACATAGTTAGCGGAGAGACGGGGGACAAAGGAGGAAGAAGGGGGGGGCGGGAAAAGCGCCGATGCAAGCGGCGAGCCGATTTGCCGGCTGTTCCGCCTTATGTCAGACGACACAGCCTCGACTCCTGGGGCGTCGGTGCAAGCGAAATTGCCATCGCAGGCCTGGAGATTCGGCCACACTTGCAGAGCAGACGCGCGCAGCAGCCGCGGAAGTGCAACGGCGCACGACGTCCCGCACTGCGCGACACAGCAGGAGCACGCACATGATGATGATGATGATGATGATGATGATGATGATGATGATGATGATGATGATGATAATGATAATGATGATGATGATGATGATGATGATGATGATGATGATGATGATGATGATGATGATGATGATGATGATGATGATGATGGTGGTGGTGATGATGATGACGATGATGATAATGATGATGAAGAAGAAACAGAAGATGAACAACAACAACAACAACAACAACAACAACAACAACAACAACAACAACAACAACAACAACAACAACAACAACAACAACAACAATAACAACAACAACAAACATAAGAAGATGAAAAAGAAGAAGGAGAAGAAGAAGAAGGAGAGGGAAAAGAAGAAGAAGAAAAAGGAGCGCAAACATAAACTGTCGGCGCTCCGCGCGGATTTCTTGGATCTGCGCCAGACCCCCCTCAGTGGCGCGCAGAACGCGCCAGGGAGGGACGGCGCCGGAGGCGTCCGCCAGGGGGGCCCAGCGCAGATCCAAGAAATCCGCGCGAAGCGCCAAAAGTTTCTGTGTATGTCGTTTTTCCTGATTCGAATGTCGGACGCCCGAAATAGCGGGGCCGTGCCGGTGGGGCACCAGTGGCGCCACA